TAAGAAATGGCAAAGGAAATAGTGTGATTAACTTTAATCAGAATGGCTGCCATTAATACGGTTTTTATAAAGACTGAAGACCAGTATGTTACCTATAGTAGCGGAGGAAGGGAAAGTCAGATAGATTTTGTGCTGTGTAGAATAAGTCAGCTAAAAGAGGTTACCAACTGCAAAGTGATTAAAAGGATGAGTATGTAGATAAAGCAAGTAAGACACCAGAAAATACGGTGGTGGAAGTTAGAAGATAAGAATTTGGCAATAGTCCTTAAAGGTAGTGTACTGAAAGAACTTGAGGAAAAAGATACGGTAAGTGACTGGTGGGAAGCCAATAGTAAAGTTGTGGTGCGAGTAAAAGAGGAAGTGCTAAGAAAAATATCCGCTAAAGAGCCTAATAGAGACAAAGAAACTTAGTGGTGAAACAATGTTAGTGTAACTGTAAGATACATACCTACTATAGCCCATATAGGAACTGTTGCTAAGAAAAAATCGTCTACACAGCTATATGAAGAGTTGGAAACACCCGAGAAAATGAAAAGGTTATACAGCATTGCTAAAACAAAAGACAAGTCATCAAAGGATTTTACCCACGTGCGGCAGGTTAAGAGTGCGGATGGAAGAATATTAAGAATTGATCCTGAAATAAAGCGAAGATGCTATTAGTAGGTAATTTAGAAAGTTGCTAAATAAAGAATAACAGAAGAGAGACAGATGATACGGGATCTTAAATGAGAATGTAATATGGGGGGTAGGGAGAGATGAAGTTGTCAAGACGTTAGACAGGATAAAAAATGAAACGACAGTAGGACCTGATGGAATATCTGTAAAGGTTTGAGAGGCTTCAGGAGAGGAAGGGGTTGATGTTTTGTAGCAAATGATACGTAGTAAGGAAGAGTAGTAGTATAAGGAAAAAAGGATGCCCGATAAAGGATGCCCGACGTATGGAGATTGAGTGTGATAGTATAATTGTATAAATATAAAGGGGACATTCAGAATTGTAAAAATTATAGAGGGATGAAGTTAATGTACCATATAAAGAAAATTTGAGTTCATTGTATCAAAGAGTTGATACAGAAACACAGGGAGAATAAAAGAAAAGCTACATTGGATGTTTATAGATCTTGAGAAGGCGTGCGACACAGGCTTGAGAAGTACGTAAGGCTAGTGAAGGATATGTATGAGGAAGCGTATTCCAAAGTAAAAACTGGTGTCGGATTGACAAAGTTTTCCAGTGATGATTGCTTTGCATCAATGTTCTTTACTGAGTTCTTACCTGGTTAATTTTGTTATGAATGTACTAACAGATAAAGTAAGAGAGGAAGCTTCTGGTCAATGCTCTTTGCTGATGATATTGTATTAAGGACAGCAAAAAAATAATGAAGGAGAAGTTGAAGTGTTAGCGAAAGGCTATTAAAGAGAAATGACTTAAGATTAGCAGATCGAAAACGGAGTATACATAGTTATTAGGAAGAAGAATGGTTGAGGACATAAAATTCCTTGGAGAAAATCTAGGGCGAGTAGGAAAATTTAAATACATTGGCTCCTACATAATGGAAAATAGGACACTAGATCGAGAAAATGTCCACAAGATACATGCTGGTTGGTTAAACTAGAAGCGAATGAGCGGGTACTTTGCGATACTTTGCGATGAGCGGGGAAGAGTTAAAAGAAATATATACAAAAATGTGGTAAAACCTGCGTTGGTGTATGGTAGTGAATTATGGCCTGTAAAGAAGATTCGGGAAAAGAAGATGGAGTCTGAAATGAAAATGGTACGGTGGACGTTGGATAAAGCTAGAAGGGTCAAGATAAGAAACGACTTAATTAGGAAAAGAGCCTTAGTGACTAGAGTCTCAAAAAAGAGTCAAGAACAAAGACTGTTGTAGTTTGATCATGTCAGATGTAAAAATAAAAACTATGTGGGATGAAGGATAGAGTTGTTAGTAGTTGATGAAAGGAAAGGTATAGGAAAATAAGGGAAACGATGGAAGGACTATGTGCACAGATGACTTAAGAGAGAAAGGTTTAGGTGAAGAAGGTCCGACAGACAGAAATTAGTGGCAACGAAGAGTAAAGAACAGCAACCCCTGACGGAAAAGCTGAGGAAAAACAAGAAGAATACAAATCTATTAATTCTTTTTTTATTGCACTTTTATCTTATTTATATGTGACTAGCTTTCTATTTTTAATCTTAACTTCTGGTCTATTAATACAGCTTGTCTATTATTACAATCTTGTTGAATAATGCTAATAATAATACTTATAATACTAGGTGGAACAAAAGTAATCACCACATTGTGAAACGTTATAACTTTTGCAAATGGCGCCAACTGTCCATACAGTTTTGACATTTAAAAAGTACAAAAACATAAAATACAAATTGACAAGCCCTGATTCGGTTTACTCCGCATTAATTGCGCAATAATTGTTTCCATTTTTTTTGTGCTATAATTTGTTGGTTGTATTGGCGCAGCGTGAATTTCGTCGCAGATTTCCTGGCTGTCCAACATTAGCTAGACAAACACTGCGACGTTTGACCTCTTCCCTTAAAGATACTGGAACAACAGGAGATGCTCTCAAGGTTGGACGGCGCTGGAATAACCGTTCTGCTGAGAATATCGTTTCTGTTGTCAATTGGATGTCCCAATGGGCTTTGGGGATGTCAAAGAGCAGCCAAGACAGCGTATGCTTTATTCACAATTATAAGAACTGACTTATGCACATTTGCCTGGACACATAAAATAAGGTTCCTATTATTCAATGCAACCTCCAACACAAAAAGGTGGCAACGGCGACACTATATCGCCGCCTGGATGAAACGGAGGATGCAATAGCACTAATCCAAGAACCTTGGATAAATAAGACCAAAAAACTGGTCTTAGCAGCCTAAATGGTCAAATTTTCAGCTTACCAAGCAATCAACAACCGAGAACATCAATATATGTTCCCAGAAAAATCAAAGCCTCCCCCTTGGCGCAGTTTTACACCTCAGACGTAACTGCCGTTAAAGTGAAGTGCCCTTGGGAAAAGGGCAAAAATAGAGAGTTGATACTAGCATCAGTCTACCTACCCTCAGAAGCAAGCAGCATCTTGTTTAAACTGGTAGCCTATTATAGTATGTTACATATATTAACAGAAATTCCGATGTCAATACATTTTTGAGACAGAATTAAATATTATCAAGCAAATAGCAGTAAACAACGGATACAACGAACAAACAATTAATAAAATGTTAAATCAAAAACTACACAAGAAAGCCCTAAAATTAGTATTTCCACCACCAGAGAAAAAACCCAGTACCTTCTGTTCGATTACATATACAGGCAAAATATCAACAAAAATAGCCAAACACATAAAAAAGAAAGGAATAATATCAGCTTTCCGAACAAATAACAACCTAGGCAAATATATCAAAAACAACAAGACCCAAAATAAAAAACACTTACACAGTAGTGTGTACAAGTGACGACTGCCCAAAAACTTACATCGGTCAAACTAGTAGAAACTTTAACAAACGAATATCAGAACATAAAAGTGCTTTCAATATTAGAAAAACAGATTCTACATACGCACTTCACCTTCTAGATCACAATCATTCTTTTAACGACGAATTTAAAATTCTTCACATTCAAAATAAAGACCTTAAGCTATCCTTGCTAGAATCTATGGAAATCAACAAATTAAAAAACACAGATATAATTCTGAATGACCAACTTGAGACAAACAGTTCTCCTCTCCTCAACCTATTTCATTAGAGATTATAAAGTGTAAACGCATGCCAAAAATAGATTACTTGAGAAAGGCAATCAGCCGAAACCGCTGTAGTAATAAGAGTTAAAATAAAATTTTTGTGGAAGTTTGAAAACAAAGTTTTCAGTGTTTTATTGTTACATAAAATGAATTTCCATCAAGTAACGGTCGAATCCATCAATTATATAAAACTTATGTTTAAGACAAGTATTGTGAATAAGTTTAACATGATACTCATTTGTTCCATGAGCCCTTTCATCATATGTTTTAACTCTTGTATGTCATTTGTCTGAGTGACCATTGAAATCTCTTGTTGGTAGTTATCTTTGTCACTGCTAGCTGTTGGTTTTGCGGTTAATTCAGTGACTCTTTCTGTATTCTGTATTGGATTGCAATTCTTTCTTCCTGTAGTTGTTTTTCTAGGGCAGAAAGCTGTTGGGTGATTTAGAGCAAATTTTACACACTTGTATTGATGATAGCAGAAATTTTTTGTGTGACCGTATCTTTGGCATCTTTTTACTCTTGTACCTTCTACATAAATTTTTGCGTTAAGTGAATATTCCATCTTATAAATTTCTTTATTATTTTCTTGCATTTTTAAGTTTACTAAAAACAGTGGTGGGTTTTTTTGTAGTTCTTTGTGTTATATTCATTATTTGTAGAAAGATATGTCCTTGGCTCTCTTTCCAAGTGAGATATCTGAGCTATTTAGAAATAATCAAAATCTAAACATCATAAAGTTTTCTAATAGCTATGGGCATAACATCTAAATTAAAATCCATGCAGTTAATATTGTAACCTTTGTATATGTTTTCCATGTTGTGGTCTATAACCCCAGTGGTTCGGATGACGTTAAAAAAATGTAAATAAAAAAATTAAATGTTCATTTTTTATTTGATTTTAACAAAATTGACCTATCAAATTGTATACTTCCGATATATGCGTGGCAAGGTTGCTGTAGATAATTTTAAAAAGAAATATATAAACAAAAAAATGTAACTTTCATTAAAACAAAGTAAAACATTAACTTTGCTACGCCAATGGTTTACTGACTATTATGTGAATCATTATGTTATCATTTAATTTTATTATTCCTACCAATACCAATACTTTAATAGTTTAAATAGTCAACAGCTTATATTTGTTAGAAAACTAGAAAAAATTGCCTATTATAACTAAGTCCGTATTAGCAGCATTAGTTAAGCTAACCTCACAATATCTTAAAAAAATTGATCGATCTTTTTATTTGCCAGGGTTGGCTTTGTTTTCCTAAGATGTCCCAGGTGGAAAATGAAGCAGTGGTAGTGGTGACAAAAAGTGAATCCGAGAAGAATCAGCAGTTTAGCAAATTGCCTACGACGTTGGTTTCTGTAGTAGAATTGGATACGGTGAGTACACAATTAGTTCGGTTTTCACTTGATTTTTTTTATTATCTTCTTCTCTTTCCCTTAATTATTTTTATGTGGCTTTCTTCTTTTCTTTTTCTTGTCATGTTGAAACTTATAACTTTTTTACTTATTTTGCTTTAAACGCTTAGCTTCGAGGTATTAGCATATACATACATAAACGTATGCAAAATATCAATTACAGATAAAGTATATAATATATATTTTCATTATTGACGTATTGTATTAAATTTTGTTAAAAAAGTTTATAGATTTTAAAAAAATTACCAAGTCAGCTATGTATTTAGATTTTAATATGACTTCTTTTGGAAGGTGGTGATATAGTGTTACTGAGTATATTGGACAGTCAATCACAATGTGCTGCACTGATACTTTACAGTCATAAAAAACGCACTGGTTCCTCTTTTCTTTTCAAAACGTGTTCATGTGTTGCAGCTGTGTCTCCTAATCTGAGACGTCATATTAGGACTAGATCTTGTCACATTGAATGCCAGAAGTTCCAAGGATGGATAGAAGATTTAATTTCTATTAATTTATTGTTGCTTCTATTCCATTGGTTTTGCCAAATATCGTGCAATTTTGCTTTTAAGTCAGGTTTTAAATCTAAATTTTCCACTGATGCGGCTGGATACTGCGGACCTAACTAGACTCTCTGTCGGTTCGTTACCATTTATTCCAACGTGTGATGGTACCCATAGAAACTCTGCTATCAAATTGTTTTGGTATATTACAGTATCAAATTAACTTCTGCTGTAATGTTCAAAAGAAATTGATGTTAGACAACTAAGTGAATTAAATTTTATAAGAGATCTGTACATAATCCAAAACAAAGTGGCATAGGATTGGTGATATTTCGTTTCCCATGGGTATACCATGTATTTTTTTGTAATACACCTCATTGAAGACCAGTATGTTTGAGTCAAATATGGAGGATAGTATTGTTACAAATGAATTAAAATCTATTGAGTTGTGTTGTTAGATGTTTGTCCATTGTTTCTTTTTATAGTATTCATGATTTGCTGAAACGACAAGTTTGAAAGTTGGTGAACAATGATACTACATCAAAATTTACCAACACATCATTTGGGGAAAGTTTGAAATTGTTGATAAAGGAGCTGAAACTAAATGAATCTTATATATAGTAATCATTCTTTGCGTTGTATGTATTTGTTAATATTTTTGTTAAGAACTTGGGCAATTTACTGTTTGGAGAATCAATGGACGCAACAATTGATCTCATTGTTAGGGTTGGTTTACGTATTTTTGGTAGAGAGTAGAATCTAGGTGCTATAGATTTGTAAATTCTTAGATTTTTTGCTTTTAAATTCGTTATTTTTAATGTTTTGTTTAGATCTGGTACCATCCATTGCATCCATTGATTCTCCAAACAGTAAATTATCCAAGTTCTTAACAGAAATATTAACAAATGCATACAACAAAAAGAATGATTAAGCGATTGATTGGCAATTAATGTAATGATACTGAATCGGTCCCTAAGAGCATTTATTTTTAGCAGACTTTACTACTTTACCTACGTAACAATTAGATGTTCTTAGTAGATTCATAGAACATCAATTTTTAGAAAAAGTATATGTTGAGAATATGCGTAATTAACATTGAGAATGTGCACAGCAGATGATAAGTATAGGTTACATTACAGTAGTTATAGGTTCTATTTATATTACTAGAATGTACTACCGCACATTTTGTCATCATATGGCTTTTAGAAGTATAGCTTGGAGTTTTCTAACCCTTCTCTATTATACAGAAAAAGTATTACATCTTTGAGTCTTATTTCGTCAAATACTTTCTTGAAGTCAATTAGACACATAAATGCTGGTCTATTATATTCTAGTAATTTCTCTGTAATTTACTTTATGACGAATTTTGCATGCGTACACGATTTTCCAGTACGAAAACCCTGTGGTTCATATGCTAAACTTATCCTTTGAGTCATTAGTTCTTGTAAAATTTTAATAACTTTAAGGGTTATATTTAACAAATTTATGCCTCTGTAGTTTTATGGCTGTTTTTTCTGTCCATTTTGAATAGTTAATTAGTTCGCTAGTTCTCCATTCTTCCGGTATTTTATTGTGTTTTGTAATTTTGATATTCAATGTTGTTACTTGTTCTGTCATTGTTTCTCCACAATATTTCAGTAATTCGTTGGTATTCCGTATTTGTCTGCAGCTTTTCTGATCTTCAACGTTTCAAGTATTTCGCTACTTCCTGTGTACTTATATTAACTTCTTCATTTGTGTTCATTTCTGGTTTTTCCAGTTCTAGCGTCATTTTTTTTCCTATGAACAGGTTTTTAGATGTAGTCATTCCATGTATCCTGTTTTATGTGTTTTGTATTATTTTCTTTACTTCCGTACCTCCTACCATTCTTAAAACTTATCATATTTTCTTTTGCAAACCATCAAAATCGGGTTTCATTTCTTTCAAAAAACTTTCCAAATGACCTTCTTAAAATTTATGTGTTTTGTTTTTTATTGTTTTGTTATTATTGTACATATAAGGTAAGCTTATTTTCTTTGCAGTTTTCTTTTACTTATGTACAAAACTATGGAGTTTTTGAACGAATACCGAATGTAAATATATTTGAAAAACTAGTTACTGTAAAAGTCTAACTGGATATCAAACCTCTGAATTTGATAGTAATATATGCACCTGAGTACAAGCACCACAAGAGAAAACTACTATAAACAGCTTCATCCTGACTTCAACAGAGTCCGCAAATGACAAATATATATATATATATATATATATATATATATTATATATATATATATATATATATCAATATGGGTAATTTTAACACCCGTGTTGGCAATTATATAATTTCAGGAATAAAACAGGAATATATTTAATATATCAGAAATGAAAACAAGGACCTGACGGACCACTGTAGTATAAACGTAATAAGTATTAATAATACATTTTTTCCTAACAAAGGCCATTAAAAAAATTCTGGAACGGCCAAGACACCAAAAGGGTTGTCGATCGAATGATGATAATGATGATTGTTTGGTAGTAACAAATTATTAATTTATTTCTACTTTACTATTTCCTGAATTTTGGTTATAGGCATAAGATTGATCTATCCACACAGTTATTTTTTTTATTTTGAAGATGACATAATCAACGTAAGTAAACAAGAATCAAAAGTGGTTTTTAATTACCTTTGAATAATTAATACCTGGAATGGACGTGTCTTTTACAACGCAAATTAGAAAAAAATGAGTTTTTATTGTTAAACAAAACAAGTATCAATAGTAATGAATTCCGTTTCGATTTTCAAATTACAAGCACTGAAACAAAGCAGGTTTTGGCAACAAAACAACTAAGTAACTAAATTAATAATCAGCAGTCCGAATCTTTGTACATAAAACATTGAAATCACAGTCCAAATAATATTTTGTTATTATAGCAAATATAATACGGATTAAAAAAATATCCCTTACCCATTTCATTTTTTTTAATTATGTAGTGAATTATTTTTGTAACTATTTGTTTAAATGTAATTTTTACAAAACTCAAAATATATTTTTTAAAAATTAAAATTGTATAGATACTATTTTATATTTGATTAAATCAGAATTGTTTGTAATGAGAATTTCATTTTACATTTTTGCTTGATATGTATGTTCTTAACTTGTAGCTATTTATAATATTGGCTGTGCGTGTTAATACCAACAGCTAGTTACACCGACTGGTGATAGTGGATATGGAGATAAAGGTGAGACGGAAAGAAAAGCAAGTAGGGTACCAGAAAAGTGGTGGAAGAATGAGGATTTTGAAAGAGTCTTTAAGAGTAGATTACTGGAAGAGCTTCAGGATAAAGATACGGTAAATACTGGTGGGAAGGCAACAGTAAAGTTGTGGTGCAACTGGAAGAGGAAGTACTAGGAATAATATCTGGTAAAGGGTCTCCTAGAGATAAAGAAACTTAGTGGTAGAACGATGAAGTGCAACAGAAGGTTGATGAGAAAAAAGACGTTATAAAGAGGTACGACAGGTTAAAAAACAAAGGAATATAAGAATATATAAGGTAGCAACGAGAAAAGTAAACCGCGCTGTAGCTACTGCTAAGAAAAGATTATTTGTACAGCTGTGAGAATAGTTGGAAACGCACGAAATGATAAAAAGGTTATACAGCATTGCTAAAGCAAAAGAAAAATCATCAAAGGACTTGACTCACGTATGACAGATTAAGAGTCCGGATGGAGGAGTGTTAAGAAGCAATATTAAAATAAAGCAAACACGGTATGAGTACTTTAGAAAATTGCTTAATGAAGAAGAATGGTAAGGCGTAGCACCTAATGGAATACCTGTGGAGGTTTGGATGGCTCTAGGAGGGAAAGGGATTAAAAATTTGGAAAAAGATGATAGGTAGGATATATGAGAAACAAAGGATACCTAATTAATGGATAGAGAGTGTGTGATTTTATCATTTTATAAAGATAAAGGGGCATTCAGGAATGTAAGAAATATAGAATGATAAAGTTAATGTCGCACAAAGCGAAAATTTGGGAGAGAACCGTAGAACGAAGGATAGAGAAAGAGACATTTGTCTCTTGTTTTTTATTTTTCGTCTGTTAATTCTAAAATATGTCAAAGTCTTTGTATTCCATACGAGAATTTATCTGCTATATAATCTCCTATTTTAACATCCTATATCTTAGTAACGAAGCATTTTAAAGGACACGCATTTATTGCATTTTTTTAGGCAACAAAACTGAGCACCTTGTATTGATTCTCTAAGATACTTTGAAACACCTTATTACATTGATGATATTATTGCTTACAGATATAATGCGAATAATGACTAATCTGGTGCTATATCGAAATATTGCTATTGATGGAAGGGATATTGAGCAGACTACATCGTATAAGTACTTAGGACAATAAATTCGGTTGGGTAGAGATAACCAGACATGTGAGCTCCCACGTCGCATAGGATTGACCTGAGCAGTGTTTGGTTATTTAAGCTACGTATATAAATTAGATCTACCCATATACCTTAAAAGAAAAATCTTTGACCAATGTGTGTTACCTGTACTCACTACTGGAGCGAAAACATTAACACCCACGAAAAAGGTAGTGCACTTTAAATTCTTTTCAGACCAGTGCATGGCTTAAACCATGAACCAATTATACTACTGATATAGAAGTTAATACGTTAGCCCGCTAAGCTATCGGTTGACTCATGTGAACCGATGAACTTCTTCATCGTCACCTTAATGTGACGTCTTCTTTATAAAACTTCCTCGTCAACTTAATTAGGGTAGTGCACATATTTGCGCACTTTTTTATGAATATTTAACTCCATTTAAGTAATATATTTTCCATGTAATGTTTTGTATTCTTGTAATAGAAATATTTAATAAATTCGTGTATAACTTGCTGAACTGTGTTCTGTTTTCAAATAATATCCTTCTTCTTCTTCTTAACGTGCCCCATCCCTAAGGACATTGGCGATTATCATGACCCATTTGATTCTATCTGCAGCCATTCTCAAAAATTTTATTAACTTTTTCCCGCTCCATTGTCCCAGATTCGTTAACTAGAACGTGCGTCTTCTCCCCGGTCCTCTTTTGCCTTCCACCTTCCCTTGTATGACCAGCCGTATCAATTCGTATTTCTCGTTTCTTAGTATATAACCAAAGTAGCTCATTTTTCTTTTCTTTATAGTGTATTTCTTTATCTGTTTTCATTCTTTCGTAGCGTTTCCGCATTTGTTATATGTTGTGTCCAAGATATTTTCCACATTCTTCGATAACACTACATTTTAAATTTAATGAGTCTTTTCTCTGTCGCCTCTGTAATTGTCCAAGCCTCAACTTCATACAACAGGACAAAGAACACGTAGCATCTTAATACTCTAGTTCTAATTTCAATGTTGAGTTTTCCATTCCATAATATTGCTTTCATCTTATTAAAAGCACTTCTAGCTATCTCAATACACCGTTTTATTTCCGTACTTCTATCCCATATCTTCATTTAGTAGTACTGATATTTGTGCACCCTGCCTAAAAGTTTTCCTTTAGCATAAACACTGTCTTCCTTAATCTAATTCTTGCTTATAGTCCTTCTTAGAGCCTTCTTTCAGTGCGTCATTAATTGTGACGTCATATGCGGTATTGGATGTGTCGAGAATTATTTCATGTAATTATTGAGAATTCTGACAGATGCCAGAACCGTACTTACTTTTATTGCAGGTGGATTAAATAATAGTAAACAATATTGTTTATTAAATTTATAAATATGGAAACATTTAAAAACGACAACACAACGATCCATTTATAGTTTATGTTATAATAGTATATAATAAAAGCGTAGTTGGTTCGTTTTGTGTTTTTTTTATAAACACAAACAAATACTATTTTTAAAGATGTTTATTATTTAACTTATAAATTAATTACATAAATAGGATATACTTCCAATCATAAAAACAATTTATTCACTGATGCCTAATAATATTACTTTATTAGAGACATTGAAAAGATGAATTTGGATATTAATGAAATATTAAAACCTTTCCTGTATTAATTAAAGATTTCTTTGGAGTTTAAATTACTTAGCTAGGTGCATCATCTTACTTATAACCCTAGGTTATCTGGCTGAACAATTGTACATCTGTCCATTATTTTTGCTGTCTTCCAATATTCATTAATGAGGCTTTTTGCATGCCAAACATATTTCGTCCATTTTTCTGGCGTGGCCTTAAATTATAGCAAATTTAGTATCTAAGAATTAAAAAAAAATAATTTACCTGTTTTAATGATGTTCTCCACACATTTAATACTGTGGCTTCGTTTGTAACGCCAGCAGAACTTATATTGGCATCATAATACCTTTTGCAGTCAGACCAAACATTCTCTATTGGATTGAATTGGCAATGATATGGAGGCAGTCTCAAGATAGGATGGCTATATTGATGGGCCAGTCTATCCAATCTGTAAAACAAAATATATAAAAATGCCACTTACTAAATAAATTCTACTACATACTTAAATACTTTATCTGGTAGATGCTTCTTTCCAATATCCATCAATTCAAACTTCATCAGTCATTGAATAATTTAATATGTCGGTTTTTCAACCATTCTAATAAAGAATGTTTTGCTCAACTAGCATTTGGTATTTTTTCCAATAAAGCTGAACTGTTCTTCTAAATTTTTTAAAATCTGATGCTCAAACCATTTTTCAAAATTTTCAGAATTCATTGAATCATGGTAATCACCAGATTTACTTCCACTTTTGAAAATCAATTTACAGTTATCAATGAACCAATTTTTAAAACCTGCATTAAGAATAATTTATCGTACAACTTCTCCATTCTTCTTTCTGACTGCATTAACACTGTCATCTTACAAGCTCTTGCAGAATCCTCCTTTACTGAATATCCAGGTCTCATCCAAGAAAACTGGTTTTAAAGGGTAAAAATTGCTTTCATTGTCCTAATAGGACAATGAAAGCTTTTAAAAACTAAAGTCTTTTTAAAGACACATCTGGTTTTTCCATTAAATACTTTCTGTTACCAACAGTACAATTTACCCATCTGAATTTTAATTCCTTTAAAGTTCTGCTAAGTGCAGCAATAGAAATATTAATCTCATCCACTTCCTCTAGTTTTTGCTTCAGGGTATAGAGAGTCACATGCTCACCTAAAACGATAAAAGTTTAAAGAAACTATCAATCACTATAGTGATTATTCTAGGAAAAATATTAAGAATGTAAAGTAACACGTTCGTTTTGATATTAGGAATTAGTCTATTTAAATTATATATGCTACAGTACTCCTTTAATAAATTATAATAAACATATTTGAATATTTCAAAGTATAAGAGTTATAAAAATATATCTATATAGTTTACCAAACTGCACAAGGTAAATGCATAAACTTCAGCAAAGAGGACTCTTAAATATTTATTAAAATACTCGGTATTTAATTCAATAGTATTCTTTTTATAATCACTTTTCATTTCTAAATATTTTATATATGTAACTAGTTGTCAGTAACAATTTATTTAAAGAAATGTCTATGGAAATTAGTTACTCCTGCCTTTCTATCAGAAATATCCTAAAATATTTTAACTAAACTGTTGTAATGCTCTTACCTTTACTAAATATTCTGTATACATACATCCTGATGGCATGGCTACTGATTGGCTCATTGTGATTGAATAATCAGAATCTTTTTGGACACCTTCATTTGAAAATCGCCTTATTGTTGGCAAAGAAATTCCTAACGCCTCAGCAACACGCTGAAATAAACAGTAGATAAAAATAAAACAATTTTATTTTCAGTGTAATTTTAAACTTACTTCACGAACAGCAGAAATTGGTAATAAAGTTTGCCCAGCTACTTTTTTTAATTCAAAATATTTAAGTAATTTAAGTATCAGAACTTGTTCCTTTTCCGTAAATCTTGGCATTTTAAAAATATTTTAATGAAAACTAAAACAAAATAAAAATATAAACACAAATAATGCAGAACAACGCTATGAAATAATGTCAAATACTGACCTGAACCGACAAGATCACTTCACTCTTTGACACTTCGAAAGGATGGCCAAATGAATGAAGTTTTAGATCAAATGCTCATGTCTCGCGTAACTGATTGGCTAGAGAAAGCGCGCATTTCAAATATCAACGAATCAAACGTAGGTTAATACTGTAATATTTTCGTGTTTTAATCACGGGACTGCCGCTTTTTTCATCACATCCAACTTAATGCGTTAGAAAGAAATGGAAAAACTGTGACGCACTAAAAGAAGGCTCTGAGAAGGAGTATACCACCATGATTTTTGTTTTATTTGTATTCTGCGCCATTTTATACTGTGATCTTCTAGACTTGTAATGCGATCAACAAAGACCTGTAGTCCTTATCTGCTGTCTGCAAGAAGTATTGTGTCATCTGCGTATCTAAGATTATTCAGAAGTGCTCCGTTGATAAATATGCCTTTATTTACGTCTTCTAATGCCTCTTTAAACAATTCTTCTGAATACATATTAAAAAGTACAGAATAAAGAATACATATGAATACGTCGCAATTGACATCTCGACATCATTCGATTAGTGTTTGTATAGTAAATAATGCTTCACTGGTCCAAAGCTTTTTCTGAATCCCAGTTGGTTTTCAGCTATTCTATCATCTAGCTTTTTATAGATACGTTCGTGTATCACTCGTAAGAATACTTTTAGAATATGGTTCATCAAGCTTATTGTCCTGAGCTCTTCACACTTCGTTTCGTTTGATTTTTTGGGTATTGGAATCAATATTGATATTAACCATCCTTTCGGAATCTCTCCCCTATAATAAATATTATTACATAGTTCTATTAGTGTACTCATATGATTTTTTGTTAATATTTTTAAGATTTCTGTAAATATTTCATCTGGTCCCACGGCCTTCTCATTTTTTATACGTTTTATCGCTTTCTGAATTTCGTCTTTGGTGATTGGTGGCCCATTTCTTTCTCTTGGTTCAATGATCTCAATTTTTTCGTCGTCTTCGAATAGTATTCTTCCCATATGTTTATTTTATCTGTATATTCCGTTATTATCTTGTTATTTTTATCCATGATATTCCCGATACCCTTCTTCTTTTATATGCCAGCTGTCTCTTTGATTTTCCGGTATATGTTAAAACTGACATGTTGTTTATCTAACCTTTCTATTTCTTTACACTTTTCTGATAGTCACAGTTCCTTAGCTTCTTTGATTTTCTGTTTGATTGTTTTATTATTTTTTTTTTGTACTGTTGTTCACTTTTATTTTTGTGTGCCCTTCTTTCCGTCGTCAGTTCTTTTATCTCTTCTGTGATCCATTGTTTATTTTTAGATGATGTGTCTTCTTGAAGTTTTTGTTTTGTGATATTTCTCAAAATCTCCTCTTCTTTCCTTTATTTATCTGTTTTTTCTTTGATTTGTTGGTATATATCAGTTTCTTTTAGTTTTATCAGATTGATCCTCGGTGTTTTTGGCAGTTGTTTTTAACTTTTTTTAATTGAGTTTCATGTTTGCTAGAACTAGATTGTGGTCACTTGTTATATCTGCTCCTGGGTACTTCTTCTTCTTAAAGTGTCCTCTTCTCAATGGAGGTTGGCTACTACAATTTTAAACTCTTCTCTATCTTCAGCTGTTCTTATTAGCTGTTCAAAATTTAGCCCCGTCCATTGTCGGATGTTTCTGAGCCACGATAGTCTTTTCCTTCCTAGGCCTCTCTTTCCCTCGATTTTTCCTTTCACTATAAGTTGGGCATATTGGTACTTATTATTTCTCAATATGTGGCCTAGGTATGATGTTTTTCTAACTTTTACTGTGTTAAAAAGTTCTCTTTCCTTGTCTATTCTATGCAGCACTTGTTCGTTTAAGGTATGCGATGTCCATGAAATTTTGAGTATTCTCCGGTAGATCCACATTTCAAAGGCCTCCAATTTATTTACGGTTGATAATTTAAGGGTCCACGTTTCAACTGCATGTAGAAGAGTCGACCAGACGTAGCATTTTGATAACCGTAGTCGAATTTCGAGTTTTATTCAAAAATCACAAAGCAGTTTTTTTATTTTTTCGAAAGATTTTCTGGCCTGTTCTATTCTCGATATTATTTCTAGATCAGGATTTAGGCTGCTATCGATCCAACATCCCAGGTACTTAAATCTATTGACCTGTTCTAAAATGTGCCCATTTATTGTGCAAGGTTGAGGTACGTTTTGTTTTTTTCTGATTGACATCACTTTGGTTTTTTTAATGTTTATTTTCATACCAAATTGCTCACAGGTCGAGTTGGTCTTGTCGATGAGTCGTTGTAGACCTAAGTCGGAATCCGCAATTAACACTGTATCATCGGCGTATCTGATACTGTTGATATTTACGCCATTCACATTGACTCCATCCTTGGAATCCTCCAATGCTTCTTTAAATAGAAACTGGAAGTAAAGATTAAAGAGCAGAGGCGACAGAACATATCATTGTCTAACTCCCCTCCTAATTTCTACTTCTGCGCATGTTGAACCTTCGACACACTAACCTGGGTACACTTTAGCCGATATTATGACATTTCGTAATCTTTGACTTATTATTATGTAATCAATTTGGTTTATTATTATAATTTCACCATCTTCTCTAGGTGCTTTCCATGTCTATATTTTTCGATTTGGGAGTTTATATCACGTGTTTTTGATAATGAGTTCGTTATCTTTGCAAAACTGAACCAGTCTTTCACCTCTTTCGTTACGTGTTCCCAGTCCGTGTTCTCGTACTACTTCTCCATCTCTTCCTTTCCCTACCTTCGAGTTGGTACTCGACGAAGTCACCTAAAATCAAATTTATTTCTTCTTTTTTAGTGTCATTGAATGTTTTGTTTAAGTCATTGTAGAAGCTTTTTACTTCTTCCTCTGTACTATCAGATGTTGGTGCATACACTACCATGATGTTTATGTTTCACGGTATAGCGTTTAATTTCAATAGTTCCATTCTATCTGTTATCGGTATGAATCCTTTGGCTGATCTTTCGATTTCTCTATTTGCTGATCACTATTGCTACTAATAATATCCAAATGTTCCAAATAAATAAAAAGTTTTGTATTGCTCACCAAAAAAGATCTAACAAGAACATTTTACAAAAAAATATTCTTGTTAGATCTTTTTTACTAATTTCTACAAAAACTTGACACCGCTGGCTGACGCTGTTTATTTTATTTCAAAAAATGTATAGATACAAAAATGTGTACATAGATACCACCTGTAGTTTCCGCTATTTTTCGTAGAGAGTTTATGTTCTCTATTTTATATGAACATTGCGTATTTTATGATTTTACAACTCTACAACTATTAGGAATAATAATTAAATTATATGGAACCATGAGAAAATAATTTGTGGGGCAAGAAGAACAAGGTGCCCATAACAACATAATATTACGTCGTGATACAATTTTATTTTGATGGTGAAGTCCCTGAACGGCTTTTTTCCAACCATTTAAACTTAATTTAATTATACCGGTATTTACCATTCTTGTTACTAATAACAAGGAATATTTTTAAGTGGAATTTGACGCAGAAAATTTTTTAAAGGTAAACAAACTTTAAACTGTTTGCCATTGACTGTAAAGTTAAACCGATTTGTGACGTGGATTTAAATTTAAGGAAGGTTTTAAACATGTTTTTATAGACATTTTTTAGTCGTTTGAAAAGTTGCTCTGATACGGAAAAGTTTTTGTAAAACATTTATATTGAATTTTAAAGAAATTCAATATAAATATTTTAATTGTTACAATATATATCCACTGAGGTGGAAAATTAACTGGACACTCAGATTTTTTTGTTTTTTTTTTGGTGTTTAGATCAAAACTTGTTTAATTTGTTTAAATTGTATGTTATGCCTTATTAGCGATAAAGTTTTTTCTGTTTGAACCTGTTTACATGTTTTGTGCGAACAAAAACACTTTTACACATACGTTTTTTTCTTAATGTGAAATAGTGGCTTATTATTAATTTAAGTTTATTGTGGTACTGCACCTGATTATAAGTTTGGCTGTAGGTTTTTGTATTGTGTCCTGTTTAAAACTTGCATTACAAAAGTTATGACAACAGAAGACGTAGGACAAGCTGTTGCTCTACAGGATGATGGGAAGAGTATTCGTTACATCGCAAACGCTTTAGGAATTTCTCGAAGTAGTGTTGGATGCAATACAAAGATTTCGGGAAACAGGACAATACACCAAGAGGCCAGGTCAAGGTAGACTACGAACCACTTAAAGATCGCTTTCTTAGGTTACAAACGTTACACGATCGCACATTATCAGCACCAGTACTTGTTCAATAATTAAATGATGTTCACAGAAACACAGTTTCCGTTTATACCGTTCGAAGATGCTTAAATGAATATAGATTAATGTCCAGAGTACCTATCACGGGACCTCTATTAACAGGAACTGTATTAAGATACAGTTGAGATTATCTGCTAAAACCATGGAAACAAACACCAAAAAAAGGGTTCTTTGAATTTAGAGGATTTTGCTGAGCTAATATGAAAAATCTTACTTCGGTATTCAAAAGAACGAAAAAAATACGTGAGAAATAATTATATAGAAGTTTAACGAAAATTACCTACCTAATCTAAGAATACCTTGAAAAATTTAAATTATTTCTTGAGCTCAAATTTGATACAAAAAATTTGAAAAAAGTCGAGTGTTTTTGTGTTAGTTATGTACTCTGCTTTTGTGTTAGTTATGTTATGTACAAGTTATGTACTTAAAACATGTGAAGAAATATCAAAAAAGAGGGGTTTGCAATATTTTGAGCATGTTCTGGCCTGAAAATAGAAAATATTCAGCTATATATTTGACTATTAGAAATAACGAAAAAAATAACAAAAATTACAGTATTGTGCGAATTAATGGAATCATAGGCTGTTTTATTGAAAAAACAGTTTATTTAGTAAAAAATTATATTTTGACAAAACCATAAAGGTAAACTTGCATCATTCAGTAGGAAATATGTCCCCCTTTGGCAGCAATTACTGGTTTTACCCGTTTTGGCATAGAATCTATAAGTTTCTGGCAATTATCAGATATCCTTTCATCTCGATACCAAACCTGAATGGCCGCTTCTATCATTTTTGTTTTAGTGGTAAAGTCTATTTTTCGCAGTCTAGCTTTCCAAATGGCCCATAAATTTTCAATGGGGTTGAGGTCGGGCGAATTACCGGGCCAATCTAAAACATTAATCTTCTTATTTTTGAAAAATGCCATCATTTTCCTTGATTTGTGACAGGGAGCAGAGTCCTGTTGAAGAATCGCTTCTCCTTGGGGTTGACATTTTTGGAGTTGTTTGTCCAAATACTTTTCCAACATGGATTTGTATAATAATTTGTTTTTGGCTGTTCATAATGCCTTCAATTGGCACCAAAGATCCAGCCCCCATGTATGAAAAACATCCCCAAAACATTTTCTTGACTGGATGTTTTAGGGTTTGATCAATATGGGATGGTGTAAGCTTTTCATTGTCA